CTTCCTACTTCATTCATACTGACTACGCAAACGGTGTACAAGTGCCATCTCATTCGATCTTCAGAAGCACCCTCTTCGTTCCCATTTTACAGGTGAAGAAATGAACTTCCCCAGGGGTCTGTAGTCTGAAACAATAGATTCAAGACTCTAAACCATTGCTCCATACTTCAGTCTGGCTTTGGTCCAACTATCCCTTGATCCTTTATACACTCCTTTATATCCCTCCAAGTTAGCAAAGTAAAAACAACCCACTCAAGCCATAGCCCCAACCTGACTTCCAGATAACTTATTCATACGTTTTTTCTCTTGGGTTACTAGCCCTAAAACCTGCCAATACTGGGTGCCTTTGGTTCTTCTTACCCAGTCAAACAGAACCCCTATGAGGCAATTTCCCAGGATAGATGAAGGAAGCCATGTCCTGTATTAACTGATGGGTAACCAATGGCCTAACCTGGGATCTCAGACTCGAAAGTACTGAGGTCCCTCAGAAACATGTGTTAACCACAGCCTAGACAAATACCATTAAAATAAAATCCTCTACGCATTATTTACATTTTCTCCCCCTTACCGCCCAAAGCACGCTCTAGAACACAGCCATAAGCAATCTTCCTCCATTCCCACACTAAGCTCCACTCAAAAAGACTCGGCTAGTCTAAGCTAAAGACTGGCAAACCTTTAACTTTCTAAAACACAAGAGATCTAAATTTCTAAGCAAGAGTCCCGATGTCAGTAGTGGTTCCCCGCTGGGCTGCTAAATACAAGGTCAGCAGTTCACAAGCACCAGCCACTCTGAGGGAGACAAATGGGGCTTTCTACTGATGTAAAGAGTTAGCCTGAAAAAAAAGAAAAAAAAACACGTTAGCCTGTGCTATAGAATTCTTTCCATATTTTACCTTGATAATTGAAGCTACGTAGGGTGCAATGAATTACTTAAAGTGGTCCTTCTAGTACAGAGGTTCTCAATCTGTGGGTCCCCACCCCTTGGGGGTCGAAGGACCCTTTCACAGGGGTCGCCCGATTTATAACAGTAGCAAAATTAGTTATGAAGTAACAACAAAAATAATTATATGGTTGGGGGGTCACCACAACATAAGGAACTGTATGAAAGTGTAGGAGCATTAG